CTTCAAATTATGCAAGTTTTCTGATTTAACTGGATTCTGAAGATATAGGAGATCAAATGGAACTATTGACCAAATGTCTGGATAAATTACTCATATTAGACACTTTTTATTTACACATCAGCTGCTAAACAATAGTATTTTGAACATAATCTCAACAAAAATAAATAAGAATTTTCGATCCCTTATTCATAAATTATTTTTTATCCCATATATAGAAGTAAAGAAATTAACCATGTCAACGGCTATAACGATGACTGCAACGACAACAACAGCACCGATATCAGAAACTGTAACAAAATCAGTTAATTCTGAATGTCCAACATTAACTTTGTTGTCTGCTCCAAGGATATCACTGCCTCATGAGGTTTATCAAAGTGAACAAAATTTTTGGGATAAAAGTTCAAACAACAGACAACAACAACAAAATAATAATTCACACTCTTATCGTCATCAAATATCATCAGATTCCCAACAAAGTAAAAGTTTAAAACTTGAATCTAATACATCATCACCTGGAGCTAGTAGTCGAGCTAGTACAGTATTTTGTCCACCATGGGATACTGCCCCAATCGGTCCATATATTGCAGATTTATTAAAATTAAACCCACCGTTCTCATCAACTCTTGATGATTTACAACAATCTCCTAATGCTTATCACTCTAATGATTATAATTCCAATAATCTTAATAACAGTAAAACTCATTCACAATCAAGGAATACACATTATCAACGTAAAGATTTTACACGGAGTCGTAGTAAAACATTATCTAGTGTTGAACATCAACTATTGATTGGAAATTTACTTACTGACTATAATAATAATTATTGTTCTTCGTCTACTGCGACAACAACAACTACTACTGATAATAATTCAGTAATTTCACCTTCATCACTATTAAATAGTAATAATAAAACTGATATGTCTAATCTTTTCAGTCTGTGGGAACAACAACAACAAAATCAGTCGAACAATAGAGAACTGAAAGAGTTGTCATCAACATCACTAGGAAATATGAATGAGTTTTTTAAAAGTTTACAAAATGATTTTTTAACTGAAACGACAACCACAGTATTGGAAACATCAACGACGACGGTGACGATGTCAGCAGCAGCAACAACAAAATCATTAACATTGAAGGATGATAGTGAGAAATTGTCACCACCACTTCCAGTGAGAAGTAAACGTGGACCAAATGATCCTTATTCACTTGTTAATGTATCAAAAAATAATTCATTAGATTACAAATTACATTCATTTATTGATTTTACAGATGACATTAGTGTAAGTTGAATTAAATTAATTCATTTGGAAAGTAAATCATGTATGAAAATGTAGTTTATTTTAAGTTTTATTCAACCACATGAATAACTATGAACTATTCAAGATGGTTATTTACACAGTTATTAATAGTGAATATTATATGAGAATTAAAGAGAAAAAAGATATTATCAGTATGAGGATACTGGTTGGTCGTTCCTTCCTAGTTTGGTAATCCCCAGCAGTGCACATCCTTAATCGATCGTCCAGTACTTCCAGGTTTTCAGTGGTGGTCCAGCTTAGATTGACTTGTGAAAAAAGATACATTGAATAGTTTGTCTGTTAATATGTATTTAGAATAAATTTTTAGTCAGGACAAAAAATATGACCAGACTGTTGTTATAATTCGATTAACAGAAATTTCTTTGTGCTTTATATTATGAAAGAACGTTAGTTGAAAATTCCATAATCACAGTGAAATTGATATTCTATATAACATCAATTTGAATTTGGTTTCTATTGAAATTAGTTTTCACATTCATAAAAATAGGTTTTCTCTTTCACTAATATTTTTCTATGTAAGAATTGAGGAAGTATCACTAAATTTCACTAGTGAGACGAAAATGGTTGAATTGTTACAAGCCTTTGCTTAACCACACGGAGAAGTGCTCGCGAGCCCGAATGTACAAGTTCCTAGAACGTCTGCCAATATAACTTGCTCCACAGAAGCAATTGAATTGATAGATACGGATCCCTATGTGGTTAAGCAAAGGTGCAGTTAAACCGCTTAACTCCATTTTAGCCCTTTTAATTCAAACGGGACATACAGCCAACATGGAGCAATCTTTCACAATAATATATCGTCTTAACAGCAATCTACCTAATTCCGTCAGACTGCGAATCCTACAGACGGCTGAAGAAATTGCTATTCGGATCAAAAAGTCAGAGCTTTACATCCAAAAGAAATATGTTCAGCCGCTTCTTTTACCCTGGGCAACTTGTTAATAATCAATTTTATAATATGGTGATGTAATTTGATTAATGTTCATTTTTATGTCCCCAACTTATCTACACATCTTACCATTGTCATTATTATCATTACACTTGATAACATTTCTGAGGAATTTATTCAATATCCACCCCTATCTACTATATCTGACCTAATTCATATTATTCTACATATTACGTAATTTCTCATTTGTAATTACATTATTTTCTCTCTCATCCCATGTTGACCATATTTATTCTGATCCTTTATCGCAAAATTTCTGTTCGCTTATAAACTGATTCAAGTAAATACTTTATATTAAACAGCCCCAACATTAACGATTTTATTTATCTAACAAACAATTCCTGATTCACATATTACAATTTCCAAATGATGTACTCTGTCGTAAATCTGACCAATCTTATGGATTATTAATTTAGATTTATGAATTGTAGAACCTGATGAGAAATTATTGAAAAGAATGTTCATTTTTATTTTGCCTCCATTAATAGATTTTGATTATTGTACAATATGTTGTAAATTCAGTAAGCACTTCTAAAATGGTTAACTAATCAATAGATTATTGGTACGAATGTGGTACATATGTCTAACGTGAAGTGACCCGTGAATCGTGATACTAATATTATCAAAGAATCAAAAACGAGGAACAGTGTGAAATTAATTAGAGATTTTATGCAAAAAATTCCATATACCTGCCTTACTGTTATTCATAGTTTCAAAAACACAATACTGATTAGTATCTGAGATCAAATTTATTGGGTGGACTAACCACGTCGTTCAGTCAGCTTAAATTTTGTTGTAATCAGAATAAGTGTTGACAGTAGTTAGTTACATCTCATAAATATTATCATTAGTTTCTTTAAGATAGACAAGCAGAGTGATTTAAGCAGATAGACTGGCCGAATTTCTTTATTAAACGAAATTTATTCGAGTTTAATATCGTCTTTCAATACTTTATTGTTGGTTTGGTAATTCATACTTTAAAACTTTGTTAAATTCAAATAACTGACAGCATGAACGTAAAATCAGTGTACTTTAAATCTAACAGGTGAAGAGCAAAGATTTTAAAAAAAGTTTTAAAAGAAAAAGGTCATCACTTTGAACAGTTTTCATCATGAATTGGTATAAAGCAGAACTATTAAGATATCAGGAAGCATTTTATAATTAGTTCCTCCTTGTTTAACACGTTCATAAATGTATACAAAACGGAAATGTTGACATTCAACTCTTGTATCACGCATGATACTCTAAGATTAATGAAACAAACTGTTTTAATTCATTTTTTTCCCATTTCACTTCATTAATGATGGATACTTTTTATGACTATTATTACCTAACAAGATAATTATTCAACTATTCAATTGTATGCTGAGATAATATATTATGTAATCACTTTTCATTCGTACCTTTTTAAATTTAGCCATATGCTGTAACTGCCTGTCATTCAATGAATTATAATAATAACAATAATAATAATACTAGTAACAATTCAGCACAAGATTGTTCATGTCTAACATCAAGTGAATTACAAACTTCTTCATCTCATATAACGAGATCGTTGAATAATCATCATATTCATGGTAAACTTCGTGATGATAATAAAAATGGTAATAAAAATGTAGATGATAGAAACAAGATTAACATCAATACCACTACCAATACTACCAGTAATGGTGCTACAATTGATAATCACAATACCAATTACAGTGTAACTAATAACGCGGATAGTACTACTATCGAAGAACTGATACCGTACGATTATTCCTTGTCAAATAAATCAGTACCTTTAGATTTCTGCCAGAATCCATTAAATAGTTCATTGGATAGTAGTACAAGCCATGGTAAAATATGGCCGGATAATTATGTTTGTAAGTTGGACTGAATTTTTTGTTTCACTAATAAAATATTTATTTTTACTACACTTGTAAAAACTGCTTGAGAACTGTTAATTACTTGATGATTGCTCATCATCAGTGTCAACCTTATTAGTAATCTAAGTGCTTTAACTTAAGATGCAAAAGTGGTGTATAGACGGGCAATTCTTTTACAATAGTTCAGTAGTTAAACAATAGCGTCTTAACCACAGTATCTAGATATCTTGAGTCAAACACTAAACAATGCGAAGAGTGTGAACTTCCAGAGAATCTTAATACAAGGTAAAGTAAAATATATCGATCAATTTGAGTTTCAAGTGAAGTGATTCAGTATTATATACACATATATCCAGGTGGAAATATCACGAGTTTGTTACAAATAGATATGAGTCAAGCGACTTTTCACTACCATTTTACTCACTCAATATTAGTTAATAATTGGAATTAGGACAGATTTATCTGCATGACATTTTACAATGTCTTGTAATATTAACAATAGATCTACTATACAATAAGATGTCTATGTATGTAGTTTGCAGTCATATTCATTTGAGAAATCTATCCGATTAATTTAAGTTTTATTTGTAGTTGATATTCATAATTAATTTTTATCGCTTAGGAAATCTGTGATAATCAAAGATAACTAGAGAAATGTTTAGCATTAGTTCAGGTGGTCTCAACAATATACATCCACAACCATACAGGAGATCAATCCCAGGACAATTATGTCTCGTAGAGAACACACTGTTTCCAGATCACTGATGTGAAATCTGGTATCTCTAGATTCAATTAGTCTGTTACACTTTCTCTGAATAAATGAGACCCAACCAATTATAATTCTTGTCAACTTAACATATAAAACAAAATAATCTGTCAATAAAAAAAGAGAATGAATTCTAGAAGTATGTATCATTATCAGATTAAAGTTAATATGGAGTATAAATGAAAGTTGAATGTTATTCATAACTTTTCAAGATATAAAGTGTCCATAGAATGTTCACAATTGAAGGTTATCAACAAGTACATATGGTCAAAGTAATACAATAAGCGATTATTTCAAGATTTTAAGAAGTTAATTGAATTTGAACATTATTTGTGAAGAAATTAATTTGAATTAGACCTTGAATTTGTGAATAACTGGATACCTTAAAAGATTAATTATTAATGCTTAATAATTACACTTATGTTGTAGAAGGTTGTATCTTTATAATGCTCTATTATTATGATTAATTTGAATTTCACGCTATTAATTACTCCTTAAATAACATCTTCAGATACTAATTTTTTCGATGACTGCTTATACTTTTATTACCTCTACCACTATGAGATTTAAATCGACAATTTTATCTCTGTACTAATGTGGTACGTACGTACGAAGTTCTACGTATTTGCTGACTGACTGATTTATTATCAAAATACAAGTTACATAATGTATAATCTATTCAGAAATTGTTCAATTATCTTGGAACCAGATAAATAAAAATGATTTGTGTACAGAAAACGAAATTTATGATTGTTTATTATAGATATACATGTATATATGCAAATTATTTCAAAGATTTACTTGATTAGTTATTTAGAAAAACATATAAGTTGATTCTTACGAGTTGTATTTGTTAGATATAAAACTGATTATTAACTATTCGTTTGAGTTTCTTTTATAAGAATAACATTGTATTATTCATTATCGTCTTCACAAACATCGAATTCATCGCTTATATAGAGAATGTCTTTGTTCTGTAATTTACTATAAGCTTCATAATCATGTTTATATTGTTCTTCTTCATGAGAACCCACTTCATAAATATCTTCTTCGATAATTTCATCATCACTATCCAGTCTATCTCTTTCGTATTCATACCATTTTGCTTCATAATCATAGTCGTCAGTGATTTCGTGTTCATTCGTCTGGTTATGAATGTCGAAAGGATTATTATCAACTAGTCTATGATGAAATCTTACATGTTTGAATTTTCTGGTGATTTTGTAAATAGTTGGATTGTAGTCGTCATTGTCATCTGTTAAGCTTTCAGAATAGTCTAGACTGTCATATGTGGAATCACTGAACCTCTCCCCATTGTCAGATTCATTGTTATCAATTTTTTCAAATAGTTCATTTCGATCTATCAATAGAAGACGATAAGTCCAATTACCAATGGTTAAAGTAGTTGTATGATCGAAATCATGATAAGAATGATTCGTTAAGTTGAATAATTTATCAAGATATAGATTGGTCATCGGATCAACGCTGTCATAATCACTTCCGAACCCATTAATACTGGTACCAGCTTTACATCGATGTTGATGTCTCATAGTTTTCAAAAGATAATAATAACTTTTTTCCAAATTAAATCCACAATCTTTAATATGATTATTACATATTTCGTCATTTATAAAATCATCTTTTTCATAAACTGTAATTTGTATAAGCTGAGATTTCTCAATTGGTAAGAATTCACTTATCTCCATCATGATTTATATAATATATTTTACATCATCAATAATATGACTTATTTATTTTTCTAGTGTATGGTGCACACTATGCACATTGATGTTTATTTAATCATCATCATGACTATTAACACAGTCAAAAACAACAACCGATTACTGATTTAAATACTACAAATCATATTGTAATTTCCTGTGTGATTGGTTAAATTGTTGACCATGCTCATCTGACTATAGTAATTACGTGAATTACCTTTAAAAAATTGTGCTGCTATAAATGGAAATAGCATTTACAAAAAGTTACAATAGATTTTCGAAACATATTTGTTTACATATTGTTTATGAGTAAAGAGCATTTGGAAAGTGAGGTGTTCATATTGTCAGTTTGTATATTTTTAGATTTCTAGTATTGAAGAAAATTATATTGATAGTACCTATTATGTTCGATTTCAAGAATGACATACCTGAATAATATTTTGTTTCATTAACGGAAAAAATCCGTTAGGTACGATTGGATAAATAGAATAGAATTATAAACGACGTAAACACTTGAAATGTGTTGTTTACTTTCAGTCAGTGTGGATCATTCTTTTGTTATTCACTTTGTAGGAAATGTAACAGTTTGACATGTATTTACTCGACTAGTTTTACTGATCCTTATTGATTGATCTTTGGATACATTTTGACAGAGACAAAATATTAGTTGAGTATTTGATGGAAAAATAGCTTAGTCGTTACAATATTCGGCTTCTAATTCTGAGGTCTCTCGTTTGAGAGTTGATCAATTAATTTAGGTTTGGATAGCCAGGTATTAACACTAGCTCCTATGAGCTTAGTTCACGATTCCAAGTCTAATAAACAAACTCGTTTATGGTAAATCAGTAGCGGAACATAATAAAACCTATAATGGACAAATTTTGACTAGTTTTGTGGATACGTTTTTTTCTCATCAAACATGGATGATGTAAACGAAAGTAGAATAGGGTAAAACACCAAGGATATTTAAACCCAGGTGATTTAAAATGATCACATGGCTATTTTCAAGGTCAGATGTCGAGTTGAAACTTTTCGTCTAAAGAAGCAAAATTTAATGTAGATCAGTATTGATCAAGATATTTGTAACTGGAATTTCATATGCTCAGACATCATTTAAGTTAGCATTCATTAATGATTAAGAAAAGATAGCAAAAAACAGCCCATGCCAGTTTAGATCAAGAAATAACATTGATCTATGAAACCCACTAATTGCTAATTTAATTTCTGTGATGGAATTCTATTGAAGAGGTATTCATACCATCAGAGATCAGATAGATTATTCAAAATAATCTGAAAGTGGTACATAACTATACTATTGCTACTACATTTCTAAACAATTTTGTATGTATGCTCTTAGTTTTACGCTAGAATACTCATATATTGAAATATTCACAGTATTTAATACAAAATCATCTCTTGTAATTCTTTTATACATATTGTTCATTTCGTGAATCTTCTTTGATGAGTACACTTTTGATATTATTCTGAAAAGTACGTCAGCTAGTTTTTAAAGATTGATAATATTACGTTTAGATTGTACGGAGTTGAAGAAAAACCACGAATTAAAATAAACTTATATTATTCGGCTATGTTTATTGTGTTTGCTTTAGTCATTTTATTTATATTCTTCAATTCACACTGACTGTTTACTTTGTTTTATCCCCTATTCAAATTATTGTATACATTCATTCACCTGTATCATAGATGTAAAAACTTTTCAATGAATTTTTTTGCGTTTATTTGATATTGTTCACCTATGATTTCTGCCGGATTTATTTATAAGGCTGAAAAATTCAATGAATACCTAGCTACAACTAAATAGGGTCACATGGTAAAAATTACTATAGGAGTTAGCCTGGTTGTAAACGTTTGTGATAAAAGATAAGTGGCAATTAACTACTGTTAAAAATTAAATCTTTTTCCAAAAAAATTATATTTTACATATTCATGAGTTCATTGAATGTAATGCAGAAAGTTGTTGCTACGCTACGTATTTTATTTTCAAGATTTGGGTATTTAATTAAACTGAATGTTTTCACTACCATTATTGTTGAAATGTTTTAGATAAAAATAAGGTGAATTCAAAGTTGTTAAACTTTCCTTCTGTGCTGATATGAATCATCCATTTGAATCATTACTATTCACATTAATTCCCAACTTACTGACTGACTAAGGTCAGGAATGAAGAGACTCTAACAAACATAAATGAGCAAACACTTTTTTTAGATGATTTACAGATTTTTCTTTACATTCTAATATGGTTATGTCGTAGGGAAGAGTTGTAAATATTCGTTCAATTTCTAGGCCGAGGTGTCACGTAATGATTCCCTTTTGGTTGCTGACTAAAATCAATGAGAAGTGAGTGTTTATTTTGACCCTAGCATCTAACTCCTTAAAAATGCACACTCATGACCTTGTTAAGGGTCGGACACAAAATTCTCAGATCCCAGTCCAATGGGAGTTCAAGTCATAATGAACACTGCCAACATTTTAATATACATATAATTATCAGTGCTTTATAATATTTTTTTTCCCGAAATATTGTTTAAATTCTAAACTACAGATGCTCAAGTACTACCAAAACACTTACGCGATCAAGCTCAATTCACTGATATTAATTCATTTGATCATACAATCACATTTCGATCAGATCCGTTCAATGATATGCCACAAATGGAATTTGACAATTTAAAAACTCTTGAACATATATCATTAAATAAAAAAGATGAACTAACTGATAAGGATTCATTTACACAACAATGTATTGCACCTTTATCAATTGGTGAATCATTACAATCTTCATCATCTACTAATTCATTAGCTTCATCATTTGATTCAAAAACATCACTTTCTTCATGGAATTCTTCAGAATCTTATTCACAAATACCTAGTAAATCAGAACAATATCATTTACCATTGAATACAAATATGAATAATAAATTCATTCATTCAATAAATACAAATCAATTGAATTTTGAAAAAGCTTCATTATTAACTCATGAACAATTACAATGTTCAAATCATCTAGATAAAATAAATTGGTCTAGTGATTTACCACAAAAATCAAAGAGAATTGGTCGGCATATTAAGAAATTTTTTCATAGGTAAATTTATTATTTCATTTCTATTTCATTAATTAGTTTTATAAATATGAATTTACATTAAAAGGTTTGTAAAGATCAATTTTTATCTGAATCTGATTCTCATCACAGTTTAATATCAACTAGGAAACTATTGAAAACTAGGGATCTTTGAACATTTTTTTTTGTATTAAAACACTTTGGAAACTAACATTCATTTGGAATAAAGTAATTTGTTAAATAAAATTAGTACTATATTTGAATTACTAGCAAACGAGTGTGTGTAATTGAAACTATTATTATTATTAGTGGCTTTATTCAATATTATATGTTTACTACAATATAGAACACCAGTGGGGACAATCGAATGTATTTAACAAAAAATTACAGGACTTGTTATAAAAATCTAACAATCATAAAGTGAATGCTTCATTTGCAAAGTGTCCACCACTTGTCTCAAAATGACTTAGACTTCATTGTTCTTGCATGTTCATACAAATTGCATCCTGTCCCCATTTTTTTTAATGTTCGATCCTCTTGTCTCTCTGCTGCCCGACCTGTTCACGACTAACATCATATACCACTTATGTCAATATAAGTAGTACACACCACACCAATATTAAGTATTTCAAAAAGTTTCTTTTACAAAATAAAAAGCGAAAAAACAACAACAAATAACTGCATATATATAGACATGTTTGAGAATACAAGTTTTTGACTAGGTCAGCTATAACAACCTATTCATCGCATACATACAGTGAGATTGTCCGCACATTTAACAAACGTGTTTTCTGTGGGGGATGGCAGTTCATGAAAAAAAGAGAAGAAAGGAAAGAACATCTCTTTGTGGCACACCTTCTTGAGTCAGTAGAGAGGTTAAACAGTTGAAGACAGTGCACTGTTCTCTTCCAGTGAGGTAAGAACATAGGCAGTTGGTTATCCTGCTGTCAATGTTGATGCTGATTAACTTGTTAAGTAGTAATCTTGGAATAGAGTCGAAAGCAGAAGTATAGTCTAGAAATGCTGACATGCCTTATAACTGATTGTTCATGTGATTAAAAATCTCTCACCCCTGTAACTTGAACTGTCTTATTCAGATGTTGTGAAGCAATAGGAATTGCTTTTGCAGTTGGCTGAATTACATCAGTTGTTCAATCCGTTTATATCTCGGAACTAAGTTGTGTTTAGTTATCAAACCTGAATATCTTATCTACCAAGCTATCGGTTGGGTGGCAACTATCTGTGGAAAATGTCGTTATGGACTGCAGATTTCAATATTCGCTTTCATAATATTTTGTATATCTTCGTACTTAACAATTCAAGTAGTTTTAAGAACAATTCAATAACCTCAGAATTCATTCTTTACACTAAGCAATATTTGATTTGGTTGTATTTAAATGGTTATTAATCTCAAGATAGAGTACATTACAACACCAATGATAGCATCAATTTTGGTAAAGATCACTTTGACATTTATCGGAAATCTACCTTTATTTCATATGAGTGGACCTTTAATTTATTAGACGTCGTTAACCTTTCTAATTCAGTTGATCTATTTCATACATCGAATGATAGCTAGTAATGTAGTACATGACGCGAGTTTCGTCCTACTTGGGACTCGTCACCTAGGTGTACCTGGGTACTATAATCCGTGTTCACTCTGGGACTCGGACCCGGATCTGGTATCGTTCACTCCGGTTACCAACGCGTCATGCACTTCGCTTCTGTGTTCATATATCCACTGGCTTTGGTAATAATTTGAAGTTTAATACATTTGTATTGATTGTTCGAATCTTCCCATTGATGATTCAAATGAATTAAATAATAATGTTTGGAGCGTCATAAGGTTACAAGTAAAAGGGTTCATATTACTCCTAGCTTTCATATACTCTGCTTTGTCAGTATTGAAATGTTTACTTATTTGATGTTGTGGTAGGAAACTACCATAAACGATCAGATATGATTTATTGTATAAACAAGTTCCTGAGATAAGTGTTGATTAATACATAATTATAACAAGTGAATAACTATTTCTAACCCTTTTACGATTATGTTGAAATATTCAAACTTTCCAACGTGTGGAAACATAATATGGTGTATGTATGTACGTATATATTTGTGTTATTATGCTTACATTTTCTTCGCTTCCATAAAACCTCATGCCCTTTACCTATCTACGGAGGATTTATATGTTAAGTTTCATTATGCGTATATTAATAAAAGAGGCTGGGGTTACTAATATTATTATTGATTTATTCCATTTTAAGTGAAAACATGACCTCATATCAAACTCTGACATTCTGCATTTATTTCAACGATATTTTTATTATGTCCAGATAATAATTAGTATGTTGAAAAAATCATCATTGTCGACATGTTTTGTCAGACGCGTAATATATATATTGTACATTTATTTAACTGCATACAGATAGCTTCCTGATGAAAATGCCAAGTAGGTTTGCTGGAATAACGAATCATTTTGGCTAAAATATATCAAAATAACAAAATAAGTAAATGTGCCAAGTGATACACCCTGTCATTGATTTACCTATACACAACTGAAAAATACTGATGTTTATTTACATGTTGTATGAATTAGAAGATAATGAAAATCCAGATAGTTAAGAACTCGTTCTTCGTAAGTTTACGATTCCGAAAATCATTGAGCTATAATCCTTTTTATGATGTAACTTGAGGTTACCAGATGCTTCGAAGATTCCATTGTTAACAATTTTTATTTATAAAATAGTCAAATATCATGATATGAACTACATTTCACACATAGACGTATATAAGATGTTTGTCTCTTTGGTAATGAGTGATTAATCCACACAGCAGTTCATGAAACATGGAAAATATGTCTAAGTTGTTAATATTTATCGCAAATGTATTCAAAGCGTTTCTGGTGGAATAGTGAGGTTTCAGTCAAGTACGGAAAAAATGTTTGTTAAAGTTGTGATCCTATATTATTTGATATGGCTGCGATAAGTGTCATGTGTCCATACCCATAGCCTACCCCATACTGTAAGGATAGTTAAAAGAGAAGCAGGTTGATTGAAGGCTACAAAACTCAACTCCATTCGCGAAACCATTGACTGTTCTTTCAGTCGTGTCAGAAGGTAAAAATTTCCGAATCTATGATTGTAATTGGTAATTAGAGACTTAAAGCGGTCATATACGACATATAAGTTATATAATGCAATGATATACCATAAAATCGACTAATTTAACACGGATATCTTCTCTATATATTTCATACTTATTATTTCACAATTTCATTCTATCTTGTTGTGATTTGTAACAACCTAAATCGATGCAAATATTCATGTCAGGTATTAGATTGTTTACAATTATCTGACTGACAGTGAATACAGATTAAATCGATCATTTACCAATGGTAAATCATATAACATTAAGAAATATCTAATTCACGCTGAGTTATAATAAAAACATCATTAAAATAACATTGTACATATTTATTATTAATAGGGAATAGTAACAAGAATGGAATGAAAAAATAACCATTTTACATCGTTCCGTTCCATTCTATTTTCTTTCCTCTATTCATGTAAAATGTTTTTATTTATTTATTGGTCTATTTATTTTAGATTAATGACTAATCCTAAAAGTCAAATAGCAGAACAAATTAATTTATTTATAGAATGTACAAAAGCAAGCAGTGATCGTGGTCCATATCGAACAATGCAATCAGTAAGTGAATATATATAACTATAATCTATTGAACAATATCTATGATTTACTAATAATAATAATCCAATGATTAACTATAAACTATGAAATAATTTGAAAGCAAAGAAATTAAACAGTAGATTTGTACTTTCTTTTTGAAAGTGTATTTATGATGCGAAAAATTCGAATTATTCTTGATGTATCCACACTTGATTGATCACTGGGTAGTGATCAATTTCATGCGTATCAAGCCCCTATTTAGTGCAGATCGAATGTTATCGACCATGTTGCAATGTGGCCACCAGTCTAGATGACTCGACACTCCGGGCACTATATATTGAGATTAGATGGTGGTTGGAAGTAGTCGACAGGAAACCCTGAACCCGGGTTTCGTGCTACTTGGCACTCGTCAGCATTGATCATCATGATAATCATGACATTGACCACCACCCAGTGATCAATCAGTTGTAAATACATCTCAGTCCTACAGGAGGTCAGTCGTGGCCCGGATAGCTCAGTGGTAACGTCTCTGACTGTGAAGCTGGGTGACACGGGATCAGATCCGCCAGGGAGCACCAGGTCCCTCAAGATTACAAGTACACCTTGCTGACAAGTGCCAAGTAGCACGAAACCCGGGTCCAGGGTTTCCTGTCAACTACCTCCAACCACCATCTAATTCTTGATGTATGCCTGATTCTACTGTGGTATGGGTTACTTATATCCGTATAAGTAGTATAGAACGGTGGTCAGGCATATAATGTATTTTCAGTAGGTGGATAAGAAAAGAACGGGAACGGAACGCAATCGGTATGAAAACGCATGAACTATGAAATGTGAGACAATGGATTGATGTTTGCGACAGAAACGGCCAAGTTTGAGATGATGGATTGATATTTTGAAAATCGACGACTTACTATATGGTTCTCAGATTTTATTGAGATGCTCTGTAATTTTGTACTTAAATACATTCGATTGTCCCCATTGGTGTTCGTATTCAGTACATTACGATTATAATCAATAATCTTGATGAGGATATCGGTTTAGAAAACAGAGATTGGGATAATGATAGGAAAAACAATGAGTTAATAATTGTATACGTTTATATTTTATTGTTGTTTACA